AGACATGGATTCCCGGTTCTCACAGGTCACCCCGATTCCAGAAATAGCCATATTGTTGTGTATTTAATGGTATTTTTCTGTTTTCGTGTAACCGGAAGCCGTAATCTTGGATTTCAAAATGGTGTCAGACATCGATTTCCGGTCCCTACACGTCACTCCGATTCCAACAATACCCATATTGTAGGGTATTTGACAATATTTTCAAAAACCTCTTTTAACGAAGTAAATCCCAAAAAACGAGTTTTCTTTTTACGAACTAATTCGATTTACGAACCCCCGTTTTGGTTCGTAAATGGAGGTTCCAGTTTATTAAGATTTAAGGTTCAATTTACGCATAATTTCAGATTGCAAAAAGCTTGTGTCATTTTCTGTAAAGTAGCAAAGGGAAAAGAATGACGCGAGCTTTTTTGCAATCAGAAGTGAGGCATCGAAAAAAAAAACTGCTTTTTAAATTTTTCGAAAAGGCAAAAAAGTAAATTGAACCTTAAGTTAACTAAAGGTGAAAAATCTATACAACTCTCTAATAAGCGATCTTGACATTTTTACCTAGGAGATGAGTCATTAAGGGGGTTAGATTTTGATAAGTTTTTAGTGGGAATGACGCTGATAAATACTACACATTATAGTCGAAATACGTATCTGTCATGAATACCAAAATCGATTAAGTGGAATGAAATGGAAGATAACCTTTTTGGCTGTTTTGTTTAAGCATTCCACTAACAACCCAATTTCATTACTTCAATATTTTCAATGTTCTCCTGAACCAGAGATAATAACATTTAAAAAAGGCAAATTTTTAAAAGAAAATTGTGAATAACTCTTGATTGGCAAAATATATCAAAGAGTTCTGTACGGTAAAAGTTGCGTCTTCAGATGTTTTTAACTTCCATCTAGAGACAACTGTGCGAAAAAATTTGAAATTATAAAATTAGAGCAAAAATTCGGTTTTTTTTTAGAGACCCCCTAAGCAAATTTAAAAAAAAATTGCCCTAAATCGGTCCTTTCAAAAGATACATAAATATGTCCGAAAAAAATTGCTTTAAATTAGCTGATCAACAGCTTTGCTGAAGAATGTAAACCTTTATTTCTGCAAATAAAAAAGAATATTTTTTAATTCAATGACAATTAGGATCACCCTAGTATTAATTGACACCTAACTTTAAGAAAAAAAATGTGTCTCTAAACTTTCAATTTGCGGCTCTAAATGCATCTTTTCCACTAAATTCCCATTCTGGACAACTATGGCCGAAGAAAAAAAAAAATCATAAAACCAAGAAAAAATTAGCCTATACGATTTTCAAAACTTTTGACAGCTTGGACCTGAGCAGTTCCAGACAAAATGACGGAAGAAAAATAATTTTTAAATCGACTTTCACCGATTTGCGAAACTTTGAGTCATTGTTTGGGCAATGATTCACATTTTTGCAAAAATTCGTCCATTTTGGATCTTTTAAAATTTTTAAAATGACGTCCTCGAAATTTTTCAAAAAACTGTAGCATGCAAACGGTATTTCTGATCGAAATGATGTCTGATACAAAGTTGTAGAGAAGTATTATCGCTTTCTGAAAAAATAAACTAAAAATAATTATATTTTATTTCAAGAAAAAATTAAAAAAAAATGTTAAAACCCCAAATATTTTAAAAATGCCTGACCGATTTTTGAATTTTATATTTTTCCTAAAAAATAGCTTATGAAAAATGCACACTTTAAAACTGATATTAATCTTAGAAAAAGGACATTTGGTAAGTTTTATGAAATTTTTGTTAGAGCGCTTTCTTGTGACATTTTTCACAGGAAAAAAATAAATGTTGTTTTTTGAGCATAAATTACATTCAATGAGAAGAAAAAAGTTTGAGTCTTTTTTGAACGATTGTTATCAATTTTAAAGTGTCCATAATTTTAAATATTTCAAAAGTTTTCATTTTTCATGTAGGTCATTTTGAAATATGTAGTTTTATTTATTTTTTTAATTTTTACTTAAGATTACTAAAATGAAATTGTTTGTACATTTTTTCAAAAAAAAAATTTTTTTCTCTAAAACTTTGTCTTAGATTTCGATAAGAAATGCTGCTTTAGTGAAACAATTATTTCAAAATTTTTAAGACCGCCATTTTGAAAATTTTGCAAGACTCAAAATGGCCGAAATTTAGCAAGAATCATTACCCTTAACACGAAATTATGCAAAGCTTCATTGGAATCGAATAAGGTTAAAAAAATCGTTTCGTTATTTGGCGTGAAACTGCTCACCTAACAAAAATATGTATATTGGAGAACATGAAAAATTGGTGTAGGAAAAAATAAAATCAGAATTTGAATTTGCTTTGCATTTGTTTTATTTTTTTTAATTTAACCCACAGTCAACGCTGTATATTTCTCTCAACTCGACAAAAAAATTTCTTCAATTTTACAAGCAATACTCTCTCCCGAACTCGAACTAGCTTTGATTAATTTTTCCATACATTTTCACCTCCCTAAGTCGATTTAATATATTTTTATTCGATATTATTAGATAAAGCCGAAGCAGCAAAATTGATCATTGAGATTCAAAATTTACCTTTAATGTAATCTAGTAAATGATTTTACTATCAAGCATTATTTTATTAATAAAAAATTTGAAAACAAAATTTCCACTCGAATATTTGCTCGAATAAAATACTACATAGAGAAAATGGTTGTAATGTCGGCCTAAATGTCCCTAATTTGAGCCCATACATAAATTCAGCAATTGACTAAATTTTCAATAGCGACCAAAAATATACATTTGTACCGTCCCAATGACGCGTTCATCTAGATAAAATTTATAAATAGAAAATTTTAAGCGATGGGCCCCAAGCCCAACATTAGAGCCATTTCCCCTATAATCTTCAATTTGATATCAAAATCATAGCAAAATAGGCAACTCAATTATTGGGTTACAGGGGAAATGGCTCTAATGTTGGCCTATGGATCTAAGATTGGGCCCATCTCTAAAAATCTCCTATATATCAATTTTATCTAGATGAACGCGTCATTGGGACGGTACTCATGGATAGTTTTGGTCGCTATTGAAAATTTAGTCTATTGCTGAGTTTATGTATGGGCCCAAATTAGGGGCATTTAAGCCGACATTACATCCATTTCCCCTATTAAGGAATTTAATAATTGTGCTTTTTTCTGTTGTTCTGTAGCTCGATACCTTTCTAAGTTGACGATCTCTCGAGTAAGAAAGAGTTGACTGTAACATCGAATTAGGTGTGGGGTGCATCCCAGGTAACAATTTGATGCTTAAAAAGTGTTGTTTAATCGATTTTAATTTCACCTTAGATTGAATAAATGCTGTACATAGACCACGTTAACCTTTGTTCAGCTTCTAAACATCTAAATCTGGTGATTTTAATCAGCCAAAAGCTTAACAGTAAGCTTTTTAAGGCATTAAATAACAGTCTTTTCCAACTCTTGTTCAGCCTTCTAGTTTTATTTCAAAAAGAATAATGGAAGACCGCTTCAAATCTCATGCTAGAATGCACTTAAGTATAATGTTTTTTATATGAAATCGGGCTAAAATTTTTCGAGGAATCCAATTCCGTACCCAGAATTCATATATAAACCTATTGAAAAAGTTCAGTATAAGCATTTAAGTGAAAATAGGAAGCACGTTAAAAATGAATTACAGATTCGTAAAGTACGCATTTGGTACGTCACATTTCCGTAGAAATATGGTCGATCGACTTAGTCATTGCTGAAATCGTATGTCTATCCAGCGGGACACGGATTTTCCGGGAAGCTTTGAGGTACGTTCAAAATCCTTGAAGGTACGCAATGGTACGCTATTGCTACATTCCAAAACATGTATCAACTTTGAAATTCGTTAAGTTTGTCCCGTAATATTTTTGGAATGCGGTCTGAAACTTCAGTGCAATATAACAGACAAAACATAGGAATACAAATGTTAATACTTCCGACGTCGTCGCAGCTCACATCTACCTGGAGCTATTCCTAAAAATCTCCTCTTCCTTGTCCCTACTGCTGCCACTGCTTGTAATTAGAACGGTAGGCAGTGAATTTAGAAGAACTAAATTGTCGGAAATGCTACGAGTGACACAGACACTGACGACATACAACAAATCAAGCTATCAAAATATGTGTAACGCATTGCTGATTTGTGGAGTTGTGTTAAGCTTAAGTAAGGCTTGTTAAATCTTTAGATCAGCTAATTTATTGAGGTTGGATTATGGTGTTACAATTCGCTTCATGCACTACTAATCAACTATATATTCAGCCTAATGGTAATCAACTTTTTACACCTTAAATCAACCAATAATCAGCTTCTGTTCTTACTGTTCAGCTTGAATTGTTACTTGGATTCTAGCTCTTTTGTCCCCTCCCGCTCATGTAAGGTTAATGTCCCTAATGTCGGCCTAACTGTCTCCAATATTGGGTCCTTACATAAATTTCGAAGGTAATCATTGTTTAAAAATGTTTCACTAGCTACCAAAAATATCCACATGTTCTTCTCTCTGCGATGACTGCGTTGGTCATGACAAGAGAAGCAAAACAATAGTTGGGTAAAGAAGAGTGGCATTATAACACACCATAGACTGGAAGGCTTTCGATAAAGTGGGGCTTTAGGTAGTGATAAAACGTCGCTAGAACTATTCCACAGCCGCAGACAATTTAAGGAAAAACCTCAAGTCCCCTTATCCGTTAATTAATAAGCTAGGTAAAGAAATGTTCAATTTTAATAATGCCGTACTCTATTGGAACTATCAATCTCAAATTTTAAAAATATTTACAATACCGTAACCATAGAGTTGTCAAAAAGGATGCACTGACTAAAAGGATTTTACTCATATTTAAAGAAATAATGATGAAGATTTTGGATAAGCAATCGGAAACAGCTCTAAATTATGAGACACAACTCTCATTCAACTTCCATGTCAAATCACCGCTACTCCGGCCAAATGCCCAGCAATATTCCACCGAAATCCTATCGACTGCCATTATTTTCCATTTTATCAGTTACACAATCAATTCCAAGGCTGAAATATTGTAATGAATAAGTGCCCATCGAAATCGGAACCGAAAACAGCGAACCCAGTGACGAGTGACTGACTGAAAGTGTGCGACCGCAAATCATAAAAAAAACCGAGAGTGAAAAACCGAAAGTAACCAAACAATCCCATTTCGAGTCATGCAAAAACCCGCGCCCACGGATCCATCAGTGCACGACTGCTGTTAGGCCGTGAATGATGTGCTGCCACCGATCCGGAGAACCATGTCGGAGACAAGCTTGCGTGCCAACTCCTGTATCGAATTATCCGAAATCAAGAAGCTGGACAGTTTGCTGCGACAATGTGAAACGCTAAGCTACGACGACCTGTCCTCAAGCAGCAATGGCGACCACGAGCTGGCAGACTACATGGAACCGAAGGGACGCTTGAAGCGGAGGAACTCGTCAGCCAATCTGATCACGACACCGCCGATCACCAAGACGGCCATCGGGACGCTTTCGAATTTGAACATTTTCACCAGTGCTAAAAAGATCATGCGGATGGTAAATGAAAACTCGGCCTACTACGACCGAAACTGTTTGCTACCCCAGAAAAGCCAGGACAGCTACAAAACCAAAAGCTGTTCGAATCTGCAGAAACCGATGTGCTACGGAAATCACAAGGCGAACGACTTTTTCAGTATATCGGAAAATTTCCTATCGACTGCTGCTGTCACTTCTCCTGTTCGCGAAGTGGATTGTAGTGAATGTGAATGCCACTGTCCACTGCCCCCGGTACCGGAACCGACGACGGTGGCTGCCCATGCCGATAACAGCGCCAACAACAGCAGCATCGGTGGTAACCAGAATGCCCTCAGTCAGAAAGCAATCCGCAAGCGTAGGCCAACGGAGAAGCAAAGCAATAATCACCACCATCATCACAGTCATCATCCGCCGTCGAAGGATAGCAGTCACGTCACGTCTCCCACCGCCACCGCCGCCCGTAGACCGAGCAAACTAGACAATGCGTACCCAAAACACCGAAAGTTCGACGTCGACGATGAGAATCGTATCGTTAATATCAACGAAACGCCCAAAATTGTTCCTATTTCGCTGACCAGTATCAACGATTCGGCCTCGTTCGAAGGAGGAGCTGGGTGCTGCGGGGATGACGTCGCCGGGATGGGTGAACACCGAGCGTCGATACGGCATCAGAAATCCCTCGATAACAAATCGGATAAATCACAGCTTTCGCAGGCTAACAGCACCAAATCCCGGTCCAAGTTCTCTCCCCCATACCTAAGCCGCAAGATTTCCCACAAGACCCAAGGCAGCGTCGGTCCGGGAGACGGCGAAGCGACAGGCGAGGGCGGTGCGAAGGAGTCGCTTCTGGGACACACATTCGAGAAAATTCTCACAGAGCCGGTCGAAACCGTAAGTACCCCTCAATAGTAATCATAACAATAAATATCACACAGCCATACACGAACTCGAACGGTTGGATTTGCTCCCACCATTCCTTTGGGGCGGGGGTGTAGTCTATTGTTTCATTGGCAGCCTTAAACTTTGACAGAGGTTATCCTAAAGTCATGGTTGTTGTGGGACGAAGAACAGAAGAAGCAAATCAGTGCCGTTAATCTCCGAAGAGCCCATCAAGGCAATAAAGACGACGGGGGGGGGAAGGAATTCGATATGGCCACTCCCCCGCTCTGGATGAGGATGCCGTGATTGTCGGTCGGGTGAAAATAGATTCAGTTGTGCGCGAAGATAATGCCAGGGCCACTTTGCGACTAATTAGTGTTGATTAATTTCCCCCTGTTTTGGCGTGGAATGGAAGGGTAATGTTACATCACGAGCGCCGGCAGAGATTGATGGTTGGATTAGGTTAACTATTAGGTTGGTTTTGTTTTGGGGGGTGTTCCAATTGTTGACTTATAACACCCTAGTAAAAATTAAGCTCCAACTAGTCGTGCCCCTGACGTGTGGAGGCGAAGGGGCCTACCATAAGGGGCGCTACATCTCGTACCAACCATCAAGGCTTGATCAACTGATTATAAATTCATGCCTCGTCACGCCACAAATTTCCCATCAGGAGCAGCACTAAGTGGGCATGATTCACCACTGCAAATCGCGAGCGGAGAAAACTAAAAAAAAAAATTACAGTCATCCTCTCGGGAAATCTATGCTCACCATCGCTTAGCTATGAAATTACGACACCTTAGCAGTCACCAACAGATTGGCAGGTATAGAAGTGAGAAGAAGAAAGCTGACAACAATCCCAGGTGTGAACTTGCACAGGACATAAACGCTTAAACGCCACTAAACCGCCGTCGAACCTCCCCCCACATGGTGTTTGACATCGTAAAATAGCGTTACAATTTGCGCGACGCTGGCTTCTTAGAGCACCGACCGCCGTCAGCTGGCAATGATGGCGGTGGTTCGTCTAATGAAAAATGAATAAGTAGCCGACATGCTGCCAACCATCGTCGACCTTCGCTGTCGTTGATTGGTAGAGTGAAAATTAAGAGCCATTTAATTATCCGCGTATGTGCGCAGGAAATATGAGGATAGTGGGAACAGTGTGCTCCCTTGGGGATGTCCTAGTGATGTCGTAAATCTAATATAAATACGGAGGGAAGAGGCAGCTGCTAGCGGTTGGCTTGGTGTGAAGTGTGATTTCATTTAAGTAAGCCCAGACTGATACATCCTAATTGGAATTTTGCGCCGGCCTTCAGTTTCATGCTCTTCGAGCACTTTCACAGTGTGCTAATTGAGAGCTTTCATTAATTGTTGCATTCATCTCTTATTTGGCTTTATTTCGTCCCAACTTAGTATTCTTTGCGCACTTCCACAGTTGTTAATTGAGAGCTTTCTAATCACGTACCATTTTTTTCCTTAGTATAATTGTGTGGCAAGTACATTCTAACACTGTGCCCAGGGACCGAACTGGGAATCGAACTCAGCCGCGTCCATCCATCATGATCTTTCTTTATAGCTGCACCTTTACCGACTGAGCTAAGGGAGTCCCCTTCATTCATATGGTGCGTGATTCTATGCCCAGATAAGTTGAGAGAATTTTCAACCCAAAAACTTCCTCTACTGAACTGTGAGTGGACCCCATCGCTTCCAGCATAGCCTTTGCTCTATAGTTGTGTTTTCACCGACTGAACTAAATAGGACTAATGGGCCAATTATATAGAATGCCCTTTCGAGCTGTATTGAGGACCCCCACAACTGTGTCAAATTTGAACGAATTTAGGACACTTTTAAAAGTTGATGGTCAATGCCTACTATGCTCAAAATAGCACATTAATTCCATCATGGTATTTTAATATCGTTCATAATTATCACACATACGGTACACCAGGGCAAGTTGAAACGCGCGAGGAAGACGATACGGTAAGTGTATCTCTTAAGGGACGTTTAGACCACAGACAAACAGACGTAACACTTTGAAAAAGTTTTTCTTGAAATCATAGTATCTCAAAACATAGGACCTCAGTAACGACATCTCTCTGGCTTCTCGCGGAAAACAAGACTGCTCGCTAACTCGCAAACAATATTGCATAAAAGTTCTACAGAATGTATAGAAACGTCAAAGTGATCCGATGCCAGCGCTGCGGCGAGTAGTTCGCGGAACTGATAATATTCAAATCAACCGTTAATTGCGTGAACGAAGATACACAATGAAGTGTTACGTCTGTTTGTCTGTGTTTAGACTATCTGATTTGTTGGTCTGATTCGAGCGGACTGCTCGATAATTTTGTCGGATGCAATGTTCGGATGCGTTCACACTTTTCCGACATGATGATAAGATTTGACGTTTGATTTGTCGAACAAAATAGGTTTGTGTTTAATTTTCATTCGACTTATTAAGCGAAATAGCCGCAAGTGAAGGTGAAAATATTGATTTTTTTTTCTAGATTTCATGGAACTTAAAGAACGCTTGAATTATGCTTTGCTGGCATCCAGCAGCAAGGTAAAACCGATTTACTATTCAATATTGTCCTGTGTATGATTTGACAGGTTTTTATTTTCCAGTGTGATTGGCCGAAAGATGCCGTAATGGCTTTGATCATAGCATGGTCAACAAAACAGTGTTTATATAATACGAAGCATGTATTGTATAAGAATAAGCATGGCAGACAGCAGGTCTAAGAGCCTACTAAGAATTTTTCTGGAGCTTCAGTTAGGTTCGGAGATCTACTGAGAAATTTGTTGAGCTTCAGGGTAGTACGTAGATCTTAAGAATTTGCAGAAATTCACACAAAAAAATTGTAAGAGAGATCCTATATCTTCAGATAAATGTTCAATGAAATTTCAAAACTTCAAGCAAGCTAAAATATTTTCAGATCAATTTGTAAAATTATAAGCAAAATTTTGCAAATCTTCAGGGAAATTCGCGTAACTTCAGGCAAGTCCAAGAATCGACAGTGCGATATACAGATGGAGATCTACTTAAAAAATATTCAACATCAGAAAAGTTTGTAGATCTTCAGAACAAAGCTACAGAGCTTTGAAAAAATCACAAAAATGGTCATAGATCTTCAGATAAATTCGAAGACCTTCAAGAAAGTGTGCAGATTTTCTGATAAATTTTTAGAATCTCAGAAATTTCAATGGATCTTCAGGGAAGTTCGGCGATTAAAAAAAATATTTATTCTATTTCAGGGAAATTTGTAGATCTTGAGAGAGACATTTCAAACTTCAAGGAAGCTCAAATATTTTCAGATAAATTTTGGGAACTTTAGGTAATTTCGAAGATCTCCAGCGAAATTTTCAGATCTTCAGGGTAGCCCTACAGAGGATTTAACAAAACATCAGAGAAGTTTGCAGTTCTACTGAGAAATTTAATGAGCCTTAAGAATTTTTTTGTAGATCTTGAGAATAGAACAACGGAGCTTCAGACAACTTTACAGACTTTGAAGATACTAATTTCAAATAACAGACTGTAGTGGTAATTTTTATACGATAGATGGAGTAGATGAAAGCATAAAGTTGATAGTTCCGTTAGAGTACGGCAGTGTGAAGATTGCATATAGAAATTTCTATTTTTTTTTTCATATCTTTTTGCCAGTGGTGGCGGGGGGGGAGACACCCCTCACCATCCCTCTCCAAAGGGGGAGTTTGGTAAAGAGAGATGAAAAACCGATTTGTACCTTCCTTAAAAGTTGTCCTAGCTCGCTATTCTAATATCTATATGCAATCTTCACACTGCCGTACTCTAACGGAACTATCAACTCTATGCTTTCATCTACTCCATCCATCGTATAAAAATTACCACTACAGTCTGTTATTTGAAATTAGCATCTTCAACTATGTAAAATCGTTGACTTCACGTAGAAGTAATACTAAAACATATAGTCAAAGAACTTTACAGAACTTTAAATATATTTGCAGGAATTTTTCAGAAAGTCTCACAGTTTCAGAAAAATGTGAGGTCTTCAGAAAAATTAATCAAATGTCAGAAAATTACCTCAATTCCATAAACAAATCGCAGCGAAGTACAAAAGTACAAGATTTTACAGAACTCCATGGAAGTTGAAAATAGTTAGATCTGAAGAACTTCAGAGAAGTCCGTAGAACTTCGGGAAAGTTCGCCGATCTTTAGAAGTATTTACACAACTTCAGTGAAATTCGTAAATCTTCAGTTATTTTTTTTTTTTATTCTTCAGCGAAGTTCAAATATTTTCAGATTATTTGTAGAGCTTTGAGGAACTTCAAAGAATTTTTGATAAATCTGCAGAACTTTATGGAAATCCAAGAATCCACAAAGAAATTTACTGAACTTTAGAAAGTTCGGAGATCTACTGAGAAATTTATTGAACTTAAGGGCAGTTCGTAGATCTTTAGAGCAGAAATACAGTACTTCAGAAAACTTAACAGAATTTGTAATAAATTTTAGGAAAACTTAGCAAAACTTCAGGAAACTACCTAAAACTTCCGGAAAGCACAAAAATTTCTAGATAATGTTTTAATTCTTTAGGAAATTGTGTACATGTTCAGAGACATATTCAATCATTCATTGAATCATGAAAATCTACAGAGAAAATTACAGAACTTTCGAGAAGTTCGTAGATTATTAGAAATTTTGTGAACATCAGAGATAATGGTTGATCTTTAAGGAATTCAGGAACTTTGTAGATTTTCACGAAAATTTGCAGAACTTCTGCAGAACACATTGAACTTCAAAGAAATCTGCAGAACTACCGAGAAATTTGCAGATCTTCAGGAAAGTATGTTGATCTTCAAAGATATTTGACCAGAGAACAGAAACAAAATTTCAGGAACGTCCGAAGGTCTTCAAAGAAATATTCAGAACTGAGTTCTTAACAGAAATTTTCTGAACTCAAGAAATCATGTAGATCTATTGAGAACTTTTCCCACTAGCTTGTCGAACGTTGGTATCGACATTCTGGCTTCCCTTCATATCG